GGTATTGTAACCAGTGAACTAGTGTTCTTGTTACAACTGTAGTTGTCAATTAGAGCTGAAGAATGTTTGAGAAACATTATATGTGAAAGTTGAACTTTTTGATGTACTGATACTGACAAGAGAAGTAGGGAAGGCATTTAAAATGTTCATCCTGTATGGGGGATGAGAAAAGCTACTCCTTGCCATTTTCACTGAAGATCCTTAATATCCCCCATGGTCTTGTCTCTCTCTCCCTGCTGTAAACAGCAGAGGTGATGGTTGCTGACAGTATGACAGTGGCATCAGACGAAGACCATTTTGATCATTGATACTGAGTGTAAATAGTATAGGAATAAAGAAGTGAAGAGGTTTATGTCATATTGGTTTTTGGTAGTGAGGTGTAAACTTCAATCTAGAAAGTCATAGTGTGGCTTCTTGCTTCCTGTAATGCTTCTGTAGGTTCACAACCGCCTGGAAGACTTGATAACTAGCTTACGGACATCACAGGCAGCTGCAGAGGACCACCATAAGCAGGTAGATGACTGGCTTCTCTGAATGACTGTTCTGGTCTTTGAATTTTTGTGTGTGGGTAATTGATGAAAAGATTGGATGGGCTGTGTAGGCACACAGCTGTCAAATACATGTCTGGTTTTAGGGCAAGGCACCCTCAAGGGAAAGGACTGTAAATTTCCTTGTTTCCGTGCTGCTGTGTTTTGCATCTGTGTTGCTGTGTGCAAGATACTTTTGTTCATCAGTATGATTCATGTGATGAATTGTCTTCCCCATCCCACCTGCAGGGAGTGAGTAAGTGGCTGTGTGATGCTTAGCTATCTACTGGGGCTAAACCACAGGAGATGATGGAGAGGGTGGATGTTGTGGACAATGGGGAGATCGTGTTTGAAAGCTGAGAGGAGACTGGACTTGGGAGATGCACAATATATTTGCAACTTTGTTTGAACTTGCCTTGAGGCCATGTTAGTTTCTGTCACAAGACCCAGTGTTTCATCTTGTCTGTATGGACACTTGAGAAGCTCGTACATCCTAACAATTATTTTATCTAAGACTTTGTGCTGAGGTTTTTGTGACTTTGTGTAGCCACTAGTAGACCTCTCCTGGTTTCTTCTTTTTTTTTTCTTTGTTCTTTTTTTTTTGCTAAAAAAAACGCCACTAAAAGCATTTAGTCATCTTCTGGTCTTTGTACTTGAACTGAATCAGCAAGTTCTCTTCAACTCAAATGCATCTGTTGGGCAAATCTTTGTCCCTTTAGGCAGAACCAGTTTCCATTTAAGTTGCTGCTTTCTATTGCAGTGTTTTCTTTCCAGTCACCTTAGTTTCTTCTTCTGCCACTGTTGCTTTAACAGGTGCAAAACCAGAATGCACTGGCTCTGACATCGAAGGATTTGCAGAGCATGTGGGAAGAGCAATTTAAGTCAAGATCCAACCTCGAGGAGCGTGTTGCTCAGCTTGACAGGGAAAAGGCAGAGCTCTTTGAACAGGTAAGTCCAGAAAATTCTCCAGAGACCTAGCCAGTACCTTGGAGTAGCATGTTAACCTTTCTGTTGAGTTCTGACATAAGCAGTTTTTTTTATTATCCCTGCCATTCATGCTCTGAGTATCTTGTGATTTGGGGATCCAGGAAGAAAATAAAAGCTAACTGGGTATTTTTGTGTAAATTCTGTGGTGGT